AACAAGAAACGTTCAAAGTGCAATAAACCCAAATCGTATTCTTCACACCCTGTTAAAAAGTATTGTATAACAAAAGGAAAAAAGATATATGTGTGTAGCAAAAATCTAATCGATTTAGATCTATTTTTTTTGAACAAAATCGTTTGTAAACGGAATTAAGAAAAAAAAGAATCAAGTTAGGCAGGTGAACGAGACCGAAAGTGGAAAAACACAAAGCTTGTGTATTGCCCACGTATCGTTCCGAGTTTCGTTTCCTGTTAAGTTGAGAGAGACTCGACTTAGCCCCTACGCGAGATCCATGCGAGATAAGTATGCAGATGAAATATATATATCTTGTTGGTGTGTTGAGCTCCTAGCGAATAAGACGATATCACGAAAGAACGCAAACTGCCGTGTGCCGAGTTTGCATTTCTCAGATGGAAAAACAGTGCACAAGCTGACCGGACCCCACGCTCTCTTTGAAACGACCACGCCCTGTACCAACGTTACTTATTTCTTTCTCTCTCTTTTCTTTTCTTTTCTTTTCGTTTACATTTTCTTTTTCTTTTTCTTTCTCACTCACTCTCCCTTCGGTGTACACTTCCTCTCTTTCCTTTCGATACACTTGGTGAATCACACCTGGTTCCTATCTCTTCGTCGCGTCAGCCGCCATAACTGGAGCACGCCTTCTGATAAAACCTAAGAGAAAACAACCCAAGAGAAGATCTTCTCTCTTTTTCGTATTTTTCTATTTTTTAAATTTATCAATAAAAATCGAACGTTATTTTTTCATTCAAAATTATATCGTAGATCTATTAATGTTACGTATATCATGTATTCAATTTGAGACACATTGTAAATGGGAATCGAAACAGATGGTTTTTAATTAAAATGATTTTTAAATTTTATCATAGATTATAAATAATCTGATCCACATAACAAATGTTATTTATATTATTAAATTTGAATACACGATATAGAAATTACACATATAAGAATCTAAACAAATGTTTTTTTAACTAAATAGATTTAAAAAAAAAAAGAAACATTTCTTTAGATCGAACTTATCATAGAAAAAAAAATAATCTAAGGAATGAAAAATGATGGACCAATCGTGTTCTAAAACGCGTATGGTGAATCACGATCGTGTATCGGCAAAGGCACTAGTTAGCAACCTGTTTACTGTAACTAGAGCACCTCCTCTCTTTCTCGCGACATTTATTTGCTAGAAAAAGAGAGGGAGAGTCATGGAAAATGAATTAAACGAGTTGGTTATATCGGTGATACCATTAACGCGCTCATTTTCGCATTTATCAATGGCTCATTAAAACTTGGTGTAAAGTAGATGATAAATAAAAAGCTTCCTTTTCCACTATCATCTTTTTGAACCGAACGTATTTTCATATTTTATTGAACAAATTTTATCACATTTTTTGCACTAACATTTATCATTCATTCTTCGATCAAATATAAACATAAATTAATATATATATACTTTTCATATAAGAATAACCTAAATACATATATAGGTTAATTCTGAAAAGTTCGTAGGTTATTTCCGAAAAGTTCTTAGGTTATTTCCAAAAAGTTCTTAGGTTATTTTCGAAAAGTTCTTAGGTTATTTGCGAAAAGTTCGTAGGATATTTCTGAAAAGTTCGTGGGTCTGTTATAACGAGACATGATCAGGTGCACGCGTACTTTACAAAAATTCAAAATCGATTTTCTTGAAACAAAGGCCTTAAACGAAAAATATTTATTCTATATTTTCGATTCATTTTTTCATGTAGAATCACCCCTTTTTCGCTTGTACCACCAGTAACAGATCACCCTGTATAATTATATAAATTAATTATATAATTAAATATTATATATATTAATGTAAATTAATATATATATTTATATATATAATGAATATTTTTTTACCATGCTATGTTCTATTATTTTTTAAGTAAATACACAAAAGAAAAAAAAAAGATTTATTATATTAACTTTTTCCAATTTTTTAATGATATTATAGACAAATCATTTTTCTATTCATTCGGACACAAATGTCAAAATATTTTTCAACGATAAACATAATAATAGTTCAAATCTCATTCGATAAATCACCAACTAATTTTATTATTCATCAAGGTGTTTTTCTATAAGGTATATATTATTTCAAAATATTTCGTAATTTGATAGTAAAAATAAAAAACAAAAATCTCTTTCGAATCGACCGTTTTCACCTTCGAGCCCATAGAAGAATTTTTTTTCTTTACTTTTTTTTTGTTTTGACAAAAGTAAACACACTCTCGTTTATCTCCCGTTACGTGTCAAAGCCCACGCATTAAACTTTACGAAATTTTCTACGTTCTTCGAGAATTTAACGAGATTTAAAACTACGTGGGATCGAAACGTAATTTAACATTCATCTTAAAAGTTCGACTACTTACTTGTTCGAAATATTTACTTCGTGATCGGGAAAGAGGGAACTTTACTTTAAATACAAAATTTAAAGTTGGCGATGAGATCAGATTTGTTGATTCTCTTCTTTTCTTCTTTTTACCTTTTTTTTTTATTTTATTCTTCCTCTCGTCGTAATTTATCGGTCGAAAGACTCGGCAGATGACTCTTTAAAGAGAGAGAAAGAGAAACTTTGAATATTCAATCTCGCCCACGCATAATTTTTTCCAAGGTTCGCAAAGTGTACTCTCCTTTCTCTCTCTCTCTCTTTCTGGAATCAAAAACGTCACGCCGAATACAGCATGATCGTTCATCTCCCTTGTCGCAAGGAGGGCTCGCATTAGGTTAAAAATAAATTCATTATATCGACGAGAGTTCGGGCCACTTTCTACGGGACACGACGATCGGTCGAGGTCGAACGATTAAAAGGGGGTTTCTTGTGAAAATGAAAAAGTTTCAAGACGACTCTCAACAACGTTTCTTATATATATAGAAGTATATACTTATATATAAATAAACAAGTTGGATGATCGAATCGCGAGTAAATTGGAGCAAAGACCCTGAAACCCTTTTCGTATTCGTTGTGATATAAACCACGTCTAGAGATGAGATGAGATGAGATGAAATGAGGAACGAAAGGTCAGCAAAGTGATTTATATTATATTCTCGTATCGTCGTTAAAATATACAAAAAAAATTTTGACGAGCCAAGCAAACATTACGGTAGTCTCTGAAACCATAATGGGATTTGTACGTAGGTAAGTAAGTACCTACATAGAAAGATCGGTGAGTTGCATAGAGACACGAGATGTAAACGATAATTCGAGTTATTTCTTTTTTTCTCTTCTTAAAATGCGTCCCATGTAGCAGGAATAAAGCATAAGTACGCAAACATGGTAGTTCGCACTTTTAAAAAAATATTCTAGTACACGAGAGGTGGTAGCGAAACGTTTCGAACGTTAAGTTGTATATACACAGATTGTATACTTGTATAAGTTGTACGTGAGACACATCAAGTTGCATCGTGGGCAGTGCCAGGGGAAACTTAATATTCCATTTTATCGGGTAAGAGACTTGGATTTATCGTAACAACATCTACCGTGTTTATGTAAATGTCACGGAGATTTTATCTCGTACCTGGTGAATTCAACCTCGCATTGCTTTCCATCGATGTCCTACGTGTATATCTTATTTTTTTTCTTTTTTCTTTTCCATCAACGCGTTAATGAGAAATTGTTTTTAAGTATCCTTTCGTTTACTCTGTGAGTCTGTCAAACTTACGAATATTTTTCGATGAGAAAATAATCGAAAGTATGGTTAATTAATCATCGTAAGATTTCGTAATACATACTTGAAGTGTTCAAAGATCATTCAAAGCACAGTAGTAGTCATCAGATATTTAAGTTTATTGTTAAATCATTCGAAATGTACTGCGTAAAAAATTTTAACTAAAATAAAGAATAATATTAGGTTATCCGGAAAGTTCGTGCCGATTTTCGGTAGGTGGCATAAAATTCTTTTGTTAAAAAACCTGATAAGTTTTGTAAAGACAAAATTTTGAAGTTACCTTTAAAGATTGAGAAAGGTTGTATAACAGAATGACACTTAATAAATATATACCAAAAAAAAACTGAAATGCGTTACATTTCGATATTCCGTCAAAATCGGTACGAACTTTCTGGAAAATCCAATATCTAAAATGGTAGCGTGAAATCTGTTGATTTACAAATAGTAATGAATTTTTTTTTTTTTGTTATCCATTATAGTACTCGATGTTTAACATTGTTACTAACGATTCAGGAATCGGACGTCCTGCTGGGCGCCACTTGTACTTAACTATATATATTATATACTTATATATATAGAAACCTATCGTACAAACTTACTGGTACAAACGAACGTCACTCAATTACGCGATTAACTCGCTAATTGTCAGCGTCGTTTAAATGCGGAGCCGTACTCGGAATCGAAGAAAACGACGTCTGACCACCCGTCGGGCCTACAGAATTCTTTGCCCTTTTCGATAGCTCCCTCCGTGATTTATATATCAGATACGTACGCGCCTCGAATAACAGGAAATTCGAGAGTTCTTCTACCGATACTCGATCGATTTAAAAGACGTAGTGATAATATGAAGTCTCTTTTCCATGATTCCGTATACATTTATCAACTAACAAAAATATCTATGTAAAAATATGTCTAACATATATATAAATATATGTATAACGTTTCAATATGAACAATTTTTCAGTAACATTTAACGATATATATATTATATAATAATA